TTTTGCCATGTTGTCCAGGCTGGTCTCAAACTCCTGACCTTAGGTGATTCACCTGCCTCGGCCTCCCATAGTGCTGGGATTACAAGTGTGAGCCACCACGCCCAGCCGATAGCAAACCCTGTTGGCTGAGGTCACCAGGGCAATTTTTAGGGAAGAACTGGCATTTCTGGGATAGAGCTAGGCATTTGAATGGGCAGGAAGAATAGAGCAGGGGAGCTCAAGTGGACGTGCCAGGTGTGTGAGTGGTGGTCTCCCGTGACCACCAACAGGAGGCACACCTGGATGACAACAGCTGCTACCGTAATTCACCAGAGGACGGCAGCAGCCCCTGACATGAACGCCCACCTCCAGTCTGGCCCTCTTCCAATCCATTCTGCCAGCTTCAGCTAGACCACAGCCTTCCTGTGGTTAAAAACCTTCATGGCTCCCAACTGTTCTCACAAGTAGTCTGAATTCCTTAACAGGATTTACAAGGCCCCTGGGGACCTGGCCTCTGGAGACTCTCTCAAGCATGTCTGTGCGCTAGGGTCCTCACCTCCCCTTCGCCCCATGAACACTTCCCTGCTGAACCACCTGAGTTCTGCCAATGTGCCCTGCTTCCCTTGTCCTGCTAGGCTTTCTCAAATGCCTCTTCCTCTGCCTGAGACATCCTTCCTTCCACCTGATCCCCTGCTGCCTGCTAACAACTACTCACCCTGTAGGTAGGTCTCTATTTAAACAGTGTCTGCCTACCAAGGACATTCCTGACTCACCGTGCTCCCCAACTAGACAGTGGGAATGGAGTCTGGAGCACCCTGAAGGCCTGGAACAACTTAGACTTGACATAGTGGGTGCCTAGGACCCATTATGTATGACATGGTAAAGATGGAATTTTGAGAAAATCAACATGGCAATACTGTACCCCAAGCTCTAACACTGTCCGTGCTGCCTCGGCCAAAACTTGAACACATCAAGAGTAGGTAAGCATCTGTCTACCTGCCATGTATCCATTCCCCACCTTCTTTGGGTAATAACCCCTGATTCTCCCATGGGAACCACCCCTTTTTCTCATTGTCTGTCCACTAGCTTGAGTGGAGCTCATCCCACCCTTGCTCCAGGGAAGGCAATATGAAGGAGGATTGGCCAATCAAAGCCCCACACACCTTTGGCCATAGTGACAGCTCAGGGGTGGCATAAGACCTCGTTGGTCCAGGGATACTCAGTTCTGGACTTCTGCTGGCAATATTAAGAAAAGAAGCTCTCTTTTTCCCCAGGAGTGCTAAGCTGATATGACGTAAGCCTGCAGCCTGCCTGAGAACAACACCAACAGGAAGAAGGCAGAGCTGAGAGATGGAAAGAGGCTGGTTTCTGATGGCTCCAAACACCTGGATTCAGCCATGGTTTGGCCAGGACAGACCATTCGGTGACAGGAGCTATTCAATCCATTTGGGGCTTAAGGCAATTCTAGCTGGCTTTCTGTCACCTGTAACCAAAAATCTTGACCCTCACACAAAGGGGACCAGAATGAAGGCCACGACACAAAAACAACCAAGTTCTACCAGCTGTAGATGTGCAGTCCCTGGTAAATATGATATTTCAGTAGGAATCAAATGATGCCATCACTCAGGCTTCTGCTTGGTGCTAGACATTTGTCAGTCAATGTCACAGCCTTGCCACTAGTCTGGGCAATAAAGCACCCATGGTGTGTAGCAAATAACCTCTCGACTACTTCAGTCTGCCTGAGCTACATCACTAAAAACGGTAGACAGAGACCACAGGTATGAAGTTTTCTACCATTCAGCAAACGTAAAACCCTAACAGAAAAATTCCTTTCCAGTTTGCAAGCTGGGAGTGTTACAAAGAATACGGTAGTTAAAATGGGTTTCCAGCTCTCTGTGCTATCTTCTCAATCTTTCTATAAATCTCAAACTGCTACAAAAAAGTGAAGTCTATTAAAAAAAGAAGTTTCCACATGTCTTGTTTTTTTTAAAAAAAAATCAAATTATTTTTACTATCTTAAACTTTTCCTCTCCACCCATACTGCCCTAAGTCAAGGCAAGAGTGTATCAGGAACTGTCACTTGTCACTGGTAGGTTGACCAGTTTACACTAGTTTGCTCAGGACTTTCCCAGTTTTACCACTGAAGGTCTCATGTCCAGGGAAACCCCTTAGCCCAGGCAAGCCAGGACGGTTGGTCATCTGAAGTGTCACATAAATTCCAAGCCCCTTTCTACTTCCAGCCTGTTTCCCACAACTACCAGCCCCCACCTGGACACGCCACAAAACCTCCAGGGTCCAGGTCACAGTGCTCTGCCTCCCGTACCTGCTGCCCTCCATGGAGGCTTCTGCTCGTTCTTGGAGGCTGCACTGGTGTCTCCTCCTGAAAGCTCCCAGGAAGGGTTCCCACAGAACCCTGGATCCATGGCAATGCCAGCACTTGTCACACTGTACAGTCACTGGCTCTACAGCTGTCTCCCCCACCGGCCTGCAAACTCCCTCAGGGAATGAGCTGTTCTGTACCCAAGACCCAAGATGTTTACTAACAGAGCCAAATGCAGAGTGGCACAAGCCCCAGGGCAGGCACCAGCTGTTTATGGCCCTATTTCCAAGTCACTAGGGGATCTTCTCACCCACCCACCAATACACAAATCAGAGGTTCTTGCAGCTGTACTATGGACTAAGCTGATCTGCCTAATTCAGGGCAGGCAACTCGGGTTTCCAAAGAAGCATCCAACAGACATGTGATCCAAACAATGAACCCAGGCAGTTCCCAGGATACAGCAAAGGAACCAGAGACCGTTTACCATTCCCTGCTGGCTGGCTGGCAAAGATGCCCCATTGGTGATGAGACTCAACCAAGCCAAAAGTGTCCTCAAACAGACTTATCGAGAAGTTCTATTCAGAAAGACAGTATAATGAGCACAAGCTCTGGAGTCAAATCCTGGCTCTGCTATTCTTCAGCTGCTGTCACACTAGGGCAAGTCACTGAAGCCCCCTGAACCTTAGTTTACACTTCTGTAAAATGGAAACAATGGTTCCTGTAACTCACAGATTTGTGAGGACTAATGGAAATAACACACAGGAAGTCTTTCGCAAGTATCTGGTACAGAATAAAGCATTTGATAAATTGATAGATTAAGGTAATTTAAAAGCGCTAGAGTCAGGCAGAGTTAGGTGAGAGCCTGCAGGTGCGTGAACGCTGGCAGAAGGCCCAACCTCCTCTGGATAACTCCCCTCCCTTCCTAAGCCACTCCGCCCACTCGATAAATTCCTGAAATCCTTCAACCACTCCCTTTCCCGCCCAGCTGCCCTCCCATTTGAGATTCCTGCCTCCCTATCCACCCCATCCTGGTCCGGGGCCTCTTTCCCCCTCTTGTCTTCTCTTACCAGCTCCCAAAGTGCCCCTCACCACACAGTGAACCCTCCTGCTCCCCAATCTTCAAGATTCACAAACGCTTACTAAATGCTGCTCCATGCTAGAAAGGTCACAGCTGAGAATTGTGGCCTTGCCACTCCCTCTACCCCACTCCCCGGGACACATGAGAAGTCCTATCTAATTCCCTCCCACCAATCCTTTCCACAGGCCCCATCTCCCTTCCACTGTTTCCCACCATATCCCTAACCCTATCCTTCTTCCTCCCCATTAATAGTCTCAGGATCTCCTCTGGAAACCTGCCTATTTCCTGACACTGAAGGTTTGTCCACTCCCCTCTTCAGCCTCCCCACCATTTTCCTCCCTGAAGTCGTTCCCTTCACTGAGAGCTCCATTTTTCATCATTCTCCACACCTGCCCCCAAATCCCAAGTCTTGGCCTGCATGCTCTTCACCTGTCCCCAGTTCAATCATTCATTTTTTCCCTCTTTAAAGAAGCAGTGCTAGATGCTGGGAATACAACTGTGAATAAACCAAGTCTCTGCTCTCCTGGAAGTGCCAGTTTATTTGGAGACAGAAAAGAAGTAAATATAAACAGAATGATGGCAGAGAGTGGAGAAGCGCTCAATGAAAGCAAGAGAAAGAAAGATGTGATGGATAGGAATTGGGATGGGGGAGCATGTTAGGTAGGGTGGTCTGGGAAGCCTTGCGGAGCTGATAATAAACACGGCTATCACTATTGGCCACCTACTATGTAACTACTGGGTCAGTCACTTTCTATTTCCATTACAATGTTCACGATTCCCATTTGCAGATGGGAATCTAGAGGCTCAGAGAGGTTAAGTAATTTGCCCAAGGTCACACAGCCAGTGGTGGTGTCAGGACTTGAAGACAGGTGTGGCTGCAAAGCCAGACTCTTAATTTCTGTGCACTCCTGCTTCCCAAGACCCTGTTTGCCACTTGTCCTCTCCCAGAGCTATAGAGTCATTTCCATCTCAGAGGTATCTATTTTTCATCATCCTCCCCACTCGCCCCAAAATCCTGGGTCTCAGCTTGCATGCCCCCAGCTTAGACTCCCCTCGGAAAATAATCCATTTTTTTAATAATAACGCCATTTATCGAGCAATTGTACGTGTTCTGAGCTTAACGTTCATTCTCTTATCCAACCAACCCTCAACACAATGGCAAGAAGCAGGTGCTGTCACTCTACTCATTTTACAAGTGGGGAACCTGAGGCCTAAGTTCACACAGCTAAATTCGTACCCAGATCCGCCCGACTCCAGGACCCAGGCATTTGACCCCTAAGCTGTCCGCTTTAAGAAGTACCCCGCCAGCAAACTTGGTGGACACTGTCAAGAACAAAGTCTGCGTCCATAAACTGAAATCGCATCCTCTCGCTTTACAGGTGGGGATATTGAGACTCTGAAAAACGAAGTGACTTGTCCAAGGTCACACAGCCAAGAACGACCGGGTCGGGGTTCGAACCCAGGCACCCTGACTCCTGAGCCCTCGCTCTTAATCCCCACACGGGCTTCCCCGGGCGCCCCTCTCCGCCGCTCTCACGCCTCCCAGAGCCCCGACCCGGAGCTCGGCGCCCCAGTCGCCCTGTCCAGCCCCGCGGCTTCCCGCTACGCCCCCCACACACTCACTTGAGGTGGTCCAAGGAGTGGATGTTGCGGGAAGACTTGCCATGGCCCCCGCCCACCCAGCTCCGCGAGCGGCCAAACATGTCGGCGGCCCCGACCCGTCTCTCGTCTCACGGCGTCATGCCCAAGCGGCCGAGCGGCCCAAGGCCCGTGGCGGCAGCACAGGCGGAGGAGGCGGCGGCAGCGGAGGTGGTAGAGGAACCGCCGGCCACCTTCCTCCCCGGCCCACAGCCCCGCACTGACATTCAGCCGGAACCGGCCGTTCGACCGCCGCGCTTTACGGCCGCCACCGCGTGGGGCGCTGGGAAATGCAGTTCACCCGCGAGGCCTTAGACGACGGGACTCCGCGAACGGACTACAAGGCCCGGCGTGCATCGCGCAACCGCGGGCCTGCAGCCATCCAAAAGAGGCGGAGCGAGAGGAGGAGCGACCACAGAATCGTCCGGAGGGGTGGGAATGGGAAGCTTTGTGGGCAGTCCCAAAGAGGGAAATCGACAAAGATGGGTCAAGGAAGGTCTCCGCAGTAGTAGCAATTATTAGCTTTATAGTAAGAATAGTATTGTATGGTGTATATTAGGCAAAGCCACTGTCCTAAGGGCTTTACATATTAAGGTATTTAATTTTTACAACCAGCCTATGAGTAGGGTACTATTATCAAACCTATTTTATCATTACGGAAACGAAGTCACAGAGAGGTTGACTTATTCAAGGTCATGCAGTTAATAAGTGGCAAAACCAGGGTTCATATCCACGCACGCACCCTTATTTTCATTTCCTTTATAAACCAAAACTGAACTAAACAGGTAACAACCTTATTTGTCCTGACAGCCTTTTTCTTTTTCCACTTCAATTAAATGTGTGTGTGTGTGTGTGTGTGTGTGTGCTGGAAAAGCCTGGAAGCAACAATGTACCAGACTGAACATCTTGTACCATCTTGTACTTTCAGAGGATTCCTCTGGTCTTCACCCAGAATCCATGCGATTTCCCAAACTACCACGTTAAAATGAAAAACAAAACACCCAACTTTCTACATGAGCCAGAATATATCTAATTTCTCCCCTGGATTAGAAGTGCTAAGTTCACTGTGGGCAAGACGTCTCAGGTTTACCATCCGTTCATTCAGTTAGTCACTTCTGTATAGCAAAGTTATTTAAGGTCTGCTGTGTTCCATTAACTCTGCTTAACAAAGAATTGGGCCAGAATGTTTTCCCCAGTGCCTAGCACAGGTTTGGCACATAGTAGGTGTTTAACAAATATTGGTAGAGTGCATGAATGAGTGAAGGTTTGTTTCACCTTCAGCAGCTGGAGAAATGGATAACCATGGAGGGTTAATGGTTTGCCCTGTTATTCACAGAGAGGGGGCAAGACAAAGTCATGCAGCAAAAAAGAACAGGCTCTGGCCTCCAAAGAAAGCCACCCAGGCTCAGAAATGGAGGATCCCTGGGCTCGTATTTTTCATCTGCAAAAAGTATGCACATACATATAATACATACAGGCTGCCTTGTCTGCCTCCAATTAAGCAATGCATGTAAAATACTCCGCTTAGTGTAGCCCGAGATTGAAAGGTTTCTTCAACTGCTTTGGAAGGCTCTATGAACGAGATCATGTTTTCCTGAAAGACGTGCAATGGTTACCGAAGAGCAGGCGAACCAGTGGGTGGGAGAGACTCACTTTTCTGTGTACTTCACGGTTGTTTGAATGTTTAGCCATACGTATGATCGCTTTTCAACATGATTTACAAAGTAAAAAGAAACAAAAAGCAACCTTATAGTTGAAGACCCGAACCACCTCGGAATCTCTTTATTGAGGTGTTCGTTAACTCTAGGATGCAGGTTCCCTGGTGGGCAGGCCTTCCAGCAACCAGAGTTTGTAGAAGCGAAGGGGACATCGGTTGATCCCCACCATGAAAACTGGCGCTTTGGGGATGTCCAAGATTTTCGGGGCAACCGTCTGTCGCCCCTCCCCGACCCCGCCTCCTTTTAAAGGAGAGATGGAGTCCCATAGAGGCATGCAGCAAGGTGCATAAGAAGCCCGCGGTTTCCTTCGGCTTTTGCGGCTTTAGCGTTCTGTCTAGGTTTGAAATGTGTTCAGCCTCTTTGCCCTCCCCCGTTCGATACGCAGAGCGAATCCGATTTGAGATCCGAACGCAGACCCGAACCAAGAAAGCAACTCAGAGGCCAGCGCCCCGAGGGGCGGAGCGAAGGGGGAACCCGCCCTCTGGCGGCAGGGGCCAATCAGCGCGGGCGTTGAGCCGGCCAATCAGAGCGGGCAGGGGAGGCCTGCCAATGAGCGCGGGGCCGCTCGGGAGGCGGAGCTCGGAGCGCGGCCGGGAGGGCGACGCGGCTGCTGCAGCCATGGGCTCTGGGCCTGCGGGGGAGCGGAGGGGGCGCGAGGACCGGCCGGACCTGGCGGGAGAGACGGCTGCAGGGACCCGCCCTAGACGCTGAGCCGCGGTGGGATCCCCGCCAGGGAGGCACCTCAAGGGAGCCGGGCAGCCGCCGGCCACTTCAGGGGGTCCGCCTCGCCTCCGGGGCAGTCGAGAGGGCCTTGGGGGGCACATCTGGGGGTGCGGTGACCCGCCCGGCGCGTTTCGGGGGTCGGGGCGCGTTTGGCAGGGGGCACCTGGAGCCCGACGCCGCCTCTGTCGAGCCCCGGGGCGCCCCTGGATGGCTGCGCTGTGCCCTCGCCGGCCGCCCGGGCGCCGCAGCGGCTGAGCTCGCGGGGATCGCCGGGCCGCCGCCGCCCTCGCCACCCGCTGCATGCCCGGCGCCCGGGTCGCGGCCCACCTGGACGCACTGGGCCCCCTGGTCCCCTACGTGCCGCCGCCGCTGCTGCCCTCTATGTTCTACGTGGGCCTGTTCTTCGTCAATGTGCTGATCCTGTACTACGCCTTTCTCATGGAGTACATCGTCCTCAACGTGGGCCTCGTCTTCCTGCCCGAGGACATGGACCAGGCGCTCGTGGACCTCGGCGTGCTCTCAGACCCCGGCTCGGGCCTCTACGATGCTGACTCGGAGCTCGACGTCTTTGATGGGTACTTGGAATAGGGTCTCGACTGCCATTCCCCTCTTCCCTCCACGATCCGCAATCCACTCCCTGGACCACCGCCCAGATCATGCCGCCGCTGCTGGTTGGGGGCACCATCTGGACAGGGATGGGACCCCAGGAGGAGGCCCTCCCCTGCCTCCGAGACCTGTAAGTGCCCTCTATGAACTGGATGAGGGCGGGTTGGGGCGCTGGCAAGGGAGAAGGAGGCATCCCCAGGCCGGATACACACCTCTCCCCCAGGCTTCTGCTCTGTCCACCTCCTCCAGGTCTCACTGGATGCCAGGAATGGCCAGACCCCTCTTAAGCCCTTTCTTGGGGCTGCAAAGCTTCCCCCAGCAAAGGGGACAGTTGGTGAAAAGCAAGGGGACCCTGAGACTAAGTCATGTTTGGGGTAGTCCTGTGACTTACCCCCCAAAGCTTATGGAAAAAGCCCTCTCACCCAAATCCATTTGAGGCAGAGCTGTCAGCTCCTCCCCCCTTCCTCATCCTGGCTTGATGATGACCTTGGCTTTTGGAGGATTCTCAGTCGTCCTAGAAGGATAAAGATTTAGGGGTGTCAGAAGACATAGGTAGCCAGGCACGAATCACCTTTGTTCTGTGGCTCTTGGGGGACTGGGTGGGGATTAAATGCAGGGGCTCCAGGCCAAGGCTGTGAGAGGAGAAATCTCAGGCAAAGAACCCTGTGCTTCCTTTTGGCCTTGAGTTTGCTGCTATTTTGGAGTCAGGTTTCAGGGTGCCCCAGCTCATCCGTTCTGCAGCTCAGAGCTGCAGGGGCTGCCAGTTTTGTAGGCTACCTACACAGAACAGGCAGGCAGGGAGCTGGTGCTAGAGTTCGCTTTTTCTGCAGGGTTTGCAGGCACTCACGGGGCTCTTCGGTCCTCGGGAGAAGGGACCACAGGGTCGTTGCACTGAGATAGTCAAGTCCTGTCTGGGGCTGCAACGATGCAGCTTTGCACCCAGCATCCAGCCCACTGTGTATGTGAGAGGTAGGGAAATGAAGGTCCAGGGTGGAGGAAGACTTGGTCATCGTCACCCAGCAAGGAAGAGAGGCAGGTGGACTCAATTCGTTAAAACACATGAGCCAGACAAGCTGTCAGGCAGCCGCCAGGTCTGATGAGAGTCACAGGGCAGGCAGGAACTCCTTGGCTCAGCCCCTGTGGCTGGACAGCACTGGAGTGTCACTGGGCACAGGGCCTACATGGCAATGAAGAGGGGATGCTGAGATGGTGGGCAAGGGCTCCTTTAGGAAAATAGACACTAATGCCACTCACCCGAGTCCACCCCTCTCCTGCATTGCCTGGCTTTGCCAAGACGACCATAGGCAGAGGGTGTCTTAGTTCAGTCTGCTATAACAGAACACCATAGGCTGGGGATTTAAACATTTATTTCTTACTGTTTTTCTAAAGGCACTAATCTCATCCATGGAGGCTTCCCGGTCATGACCTAATCACCTCCCGAAGGCCTGACCCCCCCAGTACCATCATATTCGGATCAGGGTTTCAACATAGAGTTTGAGGGGATACCAACATTCATTCTGTTGCAGATGGTGATACAGGGTGGGGTAGGGCCTACTGGCAGCATAGCTGGGGGCAGAGGGCTCCGCTAAGGGGACCACAGTGAGATTTCTTTGAGGAAAGCTTCAGTTGAGCTCAGTAAGATCTTAGCAGGAGCCAAATGCCACGGGGAGCGTGTACCAGCTGCTCTGCACACCTCCCCTGCCTGCCTGCCTGCCAGCCAGCCAGCCATCCGTTCTTTTACGGAGCAAATGCTTGTTTGTTCAATACTGTGCCTGATGAGTGAACCCAGTGAGCAAGACAGACCTAGCCTTGGCCCTTTGGCACTTGGTGAGGAAGGCTAGTAGGAACCCAAACAAGAGAATCCGATTTTTTCAGAGCTATGAAGGCATGCAAGAAAGACATGAGCCTGCCTGTTGTGTTCACTGGCGTGTCCTCAGCACTCAGAACTGTGCCTGGCATCCAGTAGGTCCTCTCTGCAGGTGTAGCCGTTGAGTGAGGCAGAAGTGAAACAGTAGAATAGAGAGAGTTGGTTTTTCCGTCAACCAAAAGGAGGCCCACGTGGCTGGAGAGGTTGGTGAGGTGGGCGAGGGCCATACCATGAAGGACCTGGAAGGCCGTAGCCAAGAGCAGTGGAAAGCCATTGGAAGGTTCTAGACGGGAGCTGACACAGTCCCATTCCCATTTTGCAAAGATGACTTTGGCAATTGTGGACAGAATGAGCTGAGGGGGAAGCGGGGAAGCAGGGACACCCCCTCTGAGGCTGTTAGTTGTCCAGGCCAGAGGTGACAGAGACTTGGATGAGGTGAGTTTAGTGAAGATGGAGAAACACGAACAGACTGAGAACAACTCTCAGAAGTAGCACCTATGGAATCCATTCAGAATCTGTCCCGAGCATTGATTACATCACGCTCCTGGTTCTAGCCCTTTGCGTATGCACTCACTCATTCAACAGACTTTGACCCTGCCTGCTCTTCTGCCAGGCCGTATGCTGAGGCCCTGCGATCCCAAGATAAATCCCTGTCTCCAAGCCAAGCACTTGACTTTGAAGCAGTATAACTTGGTGAAGAACGTCTTATTTTATCTCCTTACCACATCAACAGAAACACTTCCCCTTCCAAATGAAAACATTGGCATATTCTGAACTAAAAACTGAATCCCAAATGCTTCGACATATTTTACAGCAAACGCTGTTTAAGCAGAAACACCAGGAAGTATCTCTCAGGGACACCCTTGCAAAACTCCTAGGGTGTCAGGGCCTGACCCTGGGAAGCAGGGCGGCCTGGAGAAGTGGTGGAAGCCATGCACAGCCTTCCCTCCTCCCCACCCTCAAATCCAAGCTGAGGAGGCCTGGTCCCCCAAGTGCTGAGAAAGCTCAGAACCCCGGGGTATGAGAGGGGTGGTTAGCAGCAGGGAGGCTGGCAGGAAAGATCTTAAGATGATCTGACCCAGCCTCCTCTCCAGGTCCCTTTCCATAATCAGAGGAACGCTGGTAGTCAGTCCTACTCTTTCTCAGTTGTTCTCCTCTGGTCACATGTGTTCCCCACATGCCAATCCAGGAAACGGTGACAAAGGGCGTGGGGCATGTCAAGCAGTAGGGCCCAGGATGAATCTCAGGATGAACAGGTGCATCCACTTTTGCTCCCTCTTTTTTTTTTTTCTCTGTTACCTGTGGACCTAATTAATTCAGTTCCTCAAACACTTGCTGAGCACCTACTTGAGGAGGCAGTATTAGGATCATGGTTAAGAACCAGGTCCTGGGTTCACATCCCAGGGTAGCTGTGACCTTGGGCATGCTGCTTACCCTCCCTGTGCTTGAGTTTTATCTTCTAGAAAATGGAAATAATGAAAATCTACCTGATTGTGAGGATCAAGTGAGGCATACATAAAGCCCTTAGACCTCCTTGAATATAGTAAGAGATGTATTAATATTAACCACTCATATTCATAGTCAGATGGAATGAAGAACGTGTTACACCCATGCCCTTGCGAATGTACAAACCTGCACCTATACTCATGCATGAATATTTATATCCCATGAGCAAAAGAGGATCGGCTCCCTGCGTGCCAGGGAGGTCCAGGTCTAGCCTGGCTCGGGGAGACTTCCCACTCAGCCTTCCCAGCCCCAGGACCCTCAGGAGACCTTTCTTGCTGCCCTGTGATCCCCAGGGCACCAGAACCCTGGAGAGCCAGCTCTGTGGTTTTCCTAGAGTGTTAATTGTTGCCCAGGAGCAGGGAATGGGGAATCAGGAGCTCCCTTCTTCCCAGGAGAAAGGGCTACAGTGGCTGAGCTAGGAGCCAGGGAGAGTCCTCATGTCCCAGTCCCAGTAGTTCTGGTGCAGAGGCAGCTCAGCCAGATTATTCGTCCCAGTTCCTAATGAAAGTGAAAGCCTCCGGTTCCTGCCAGCCCTCTCTTGGCACACGGTGAGCTGAAAATGCAGAGACTGGAGAACATTGCTGCCAGCGTCGGCTTGTCCTGACGCAGCTCAGATTTGGAGCTGGGGGTTATCAGACTCATCCGTCTATCTTATTCCAGGGTTTCCTAGGCTTCAGTTGTCTCCCAACTGGGAGCCACAGCTGCTTCTTCCTAACCGGGTCCCTCTTTGCGGATCTGTGGCCTGTGCTATCAGCAGAACCCCTGGGCTGGACATGTAGTTGTCCAGCTCAGAAACCCAAACTTGGGCCAGGTGTGGTGGCTCACTCCCCGCAATCCCAGCACTTTGGGAGGCCAAGACAGGTGGATCACAAGGTTAGGAGATCGAGACCATCCTGGCCAGCATGGTGAAACCCCATCTCTACTGAAAATACAAAAATTAGCTGGGCATGGTGGCACACATCTGTAATTCCAGCTACTCGGGAGGCTGAGGCAAGAGAATCTCTTGAACCCCGGAGGCGGAGGTTGCAGTGAGCCGACATCACACTACTGCACTCCAGCCTGGCAACAGAGTGAGCCTCTGTCTCAAAAAATAAAAAAAGAAAGAAACCTAAACCTTCTGCAGGGACACAGTCAAAGTTGAGTTATGGGAGATTGCACAAGCAGGGGGCTGGTGGATGCAGGAAACCAGGGGTCTGTGGCTGTCATCCAAGCAAGAGACAGACAACAGTGACCCAGGGAGGCAGGTAAACCCCTAGGCCTGGCCACCTCTCCAGCTCTGCTCCTGACATGAGGCTCACCCATAAGGTCCTTGGCCACAGGGTTCATTGGTGCCAGCTGCGTCTTCGGACAGGCGAAAACCCCAGTATGTGTCTCAAGTCTCAAGACAGTGAGATGTCAGGGGCCCTACTCTCAGCCCTGAGTTATACAAACTAGAGATTTCAGCCAAAAACAGACAGGGTCTACCCTGCTTACAGCTCTTGTGTCTGTTTTGCTGAACTAAGAAAGTGAGGGCTCCTCTCAATTTGGATATTCATATTTCTGGTTTATCTGATAGCTTTCCTCCCAGAACTACTTTTTGTTTTGAGACAGAGTTTCAATCTGTCGCCCAGGCTGGAGTGCAGTGACACAATCTCAGGTCACCGCAACCTCCGCCTCCGCCTCCCAGGTCAAGCGATTCTCCTGCCTCAGCTTCCCGAGTAGCTGGGATTACAGGCGCTCGCTACCATGCCCAGCTAATTTTTGTATTTTTAGTAGAG